CTTATCAGAGTGGCCTGGTTATGAATGGGACAGACAGCCTTGAAGTCAGACAGAAAAGGACTTCCCTTTCCCTAGCTCTGTAACCTGTGCTGCTCTCCTCATTAGTGAAATGCAGATGATACGGCCTACCCCACCAAGCCGTGGCAAACATCGTATTTGATAACTCGTATGAAAACTCCTGACCTAGAGTAGGAATTTGATATGTGCTCGAGTCCTCCATTTTCTTACATCATTGCTTCACATCTCTGGGTATTATTGATTATCACCAGTTTACAGGCGGGAAAACTGAATTCAGGGAAGTTTCATAAACTTCTCAAAATACATGTAAAAGAGTTACAAGCAGAGACTGACATCAAAGTCTTCTGAGCCTAAAACGTAGGGCTTACCTGCAACACCAGGATGCCTGGAGATCTGTGCAGGCAGGTGAACACTTAAAGAAATTTTTTTTTAAATCTTTGCCTCGGAAAAACTCTCTGTGTTTTCCTTTACTACCACATGACTGCCACACTCACAACACTTCTGACACCAGCTGTGTGGGATTTTCCTCAAGCAATTCTCCAATACCAGCCGAATGTCCTACATCAATTCACTTCTGGCACTAACTGGAGTTAGCACAGACCCTATAGGTTAAGGGCTCAGTCCCACAAGACTGCCCTGGCTCCCACTTCAGATGCCAATTGCAAGTCCAGGTTGTTACCCGTGCTTCTGACTGACTGGCTATAAATCAGAGGTTCCCACAATCCCATCCTCTGGTTCGATTAATTTCCTAGAGCAGCTCACAGAACTCAGGAAAACAGTTTACCTTCTAGATTACCAGTTTATTACAAAAGATATTAAACAATATTAATGAATAACCAGATAAAGAGATAACATACAGAGGTCAAGAAAGGTCTCAAGTGTAGGAGATTCTGTCCTCATAGAGTTGGGGTGCGCCACCCTCCCAACACATAGCTGTGTAAACCAACCCAGAAGCTCCTCAAACCCTATACTATTGAGATTTTTACGGAGGCTTCATCATATAGGCATGATCGATTATTAACTCAATCTCCAGCCCCTCTCCCCTTCCTAGAGGAAGGGAGATGGAGCTGAAAATTCCAAGCTTCTCATCATGGCTTGGTCTTTCTGATGACTAGCTTGCATCCTAAAGCTATTCAGGAGCCCCCCAAGAGTTACCTCATTAGAACAAAAGATACCCCTATCGCCCAGAAAATTCCAAGGGATTTAGGAGCCTTATGCCATGAGGCGGTCAAATACCAAATATTAGAACAATAGATGCTCCTAGTGCTCTTATCACTTGGGAAATTACAAGGGTTTTAGGAGCTCTGTGCCGGGAATCGGAGCAGAGACCCGTATACATATATATTTTTTTCCTATTATTTCACAATCTTTAACTCTCGCTTTTGTTACCTTAATGGAAATTTGTTATTTGTGCTATTTTAAATATTTACAGAAAAGTAGTTCACAATGCTTCATTATTTTCAATCACCTGGCACAGATTGAGACAAAAGCACTATAGGTTGTACCATGAGTTGCATGCGGGAAGACACCATGTCTTATTCATCCTTGCCTCCCTAAGCCCAGCATGATGCCTAAAATATAATAGAGACTCAATAAAAGGTTGTGGAAAAGAAAAATAGGTGGATAGATGGACGGATGGATGGATAGTTGAATAGATAGATGGACAAATGAAAGGACAAAGGAGGAATAAGAAATATTGTAATATTTGGTCAATTCTTAAAGGTAATTTGTTAGGACATATTTATGATGTACAAGGCTCTGACCCAGTCATTTGAATACAAACAATTCATTTTTCATAGGTGCATATCATCCCAGCCCGGGCCTCAACCTCCAATCTGATACATAGGTTACAAACTTTAATAGGTGGGACTACACCTTGTGCCAAATACATTTTAGGACTAAACCAAACACACGAACTACATGACAACATTTGATTGCTATCTTTTCTAGTAAGGTAGAACATTTTGTAATAAGTTTCTGCTTTGTTACTTAATCCCATATGCCCTTATTAATATTGTACTTGTAAAACAGCATCTCCATTTTATTGTGTCACTCTGAGCACAATGCAGCATCTCTACTTACAAACAGGCTAGATTCCAAAGGAGTTACTAAGTATATTTCTTGTCAAATCTGAAGCAATATTATGCAAATCACTAGCAGAACCTCTCCAGGAAGTTGATGATGCATGTTTGCTTTTATGCATTGCTTGTTCATATTCATAAAAGTTGATGCTATGTTGAAAGTTTATTCACATAGGATTAAGCAGCTGCAGCTTTAACCTCTGGCTCCTGCAGCTTTTGTAATTTGGCATTGTACACCTGTCATAGCCCCAAAGGTTTTCTCAAAAGAAGAAACACTCTGACAACTTATCACCCTTGTTTGTGGATCACCACTTCCCCCCAGATGCTCACAACTCCTTGTATGGGATTTGTGGACGTGACTGGCACAGCAGTGTGCATCATACATACTTGAAGCAGTACGCCAATGGGTATTGAACTGCTATTCTGCTTTGAGTCCCACAGTTTAGTGTGAGTTTATGTGCATCGGGCTGGTGGGGACGTGATCTTCCTGTCGTCTACTTTTTCCATTTGACCTGCTCAGAGGAACTGTGCTCTGATGGGGAGCTAGATTTCTAAGCTCATAAATCTCTTTGAGTTCAAGCCTTTCTCCTTTGGTACTTTTGTATTTTTCAATGACTTGGAGACATACTGATAAGATTCTCTGAGAAAACGAATGGTCAAATAAATGAAGAATGAATGAGTGAGTGAATACATGAATATGTAAATAATAAATCTATTTAAGAATTAACATGCAACCAAAGGAGAGGCAGTCTGGTGCTGAGAAAAAATAGTGTCCTAGAAGTTGGAAGACGTGAGTTTGAAATGACTGCTAGCTCTATTATATTGGAGAAGTCACTTAATTATCTCTGGGCCTCAGTTTTCTCATCTGGAAAATGCACTATACAGAAAATACATTACACCCAATAGTCTCCAAGTTCTTCTTCATTTCTGAACCACTTAAGAGGCTAAGTGATGTTGTATCCCACGGAGTTTCTGTTTGTTGCTATATTCTGGCACCTTAGCTCTTGTCCATCAGAGGACATGCTGCCTTTCCACAGCCAGTTGTCTAGATTCCTTTTAATCAGTCAGTGCACACATTGTCGATATTTCCCATACCCAACAGAATTCAGGTCTCTCAGGTTCCACTAGGTTTATTGGCTAAATGTATTATTATGCCAAAAGTATAATCTTTTTAACTATTTAGGTCCAAATAGTTTGTATCTTTTATGTAAAATATTTTTATATATAAAAATTTATATATAAATTACATATATAATATTTTTATAGTAAAAAGAAAAACTTACTGTAAATCAATCAATATTTATTAAAAGTCTACTTAGCACAAAGTATTGCACTAAATCTTATCAAGGAAATATGAAAAATAACTTCTGCCTCTCCAAAATTTGGCTTTTCAGTGCACACATGAAAAGATAAATTCTAACGAAAGGTATAAAAGCTTGACTATAATGGCAAGTTGTAGAGGAGGAGCACTAGAAGATGAAGTAGATGACCTGGGTCCTTTTAAGCCACTTGACTCTAACAAATCAGGTATCCTCTATCTCAGCTTCTGTTATTTCATATATAAGGTTTGTATAATACCTGCCTGACTCTCATGGGTTTATGAAGTTCCTACTCTGTACTAGGCACCTTGTTACGTCTTAATGATAAAAAGATGAACAAGATTAGTCCAGTCCATTGGGGAGTTTATAGTTAGGTATAGGTTAATATTCATGCAAATACTTGATACGATGTGATTAGCACTATTGTTTATCATAAGGTGCTAGAGGAAAGGTAAAGAGTTAATTTCTTTCTCCTAAAGTGTCGAAATCACCTCTAATTCTGATGTAATGCAATATAAAATATACAGCATCACTTTTGAAGTAATCTTGCCAAGTGAATTTAACCAAAATCTAATCAAGTCTTTAGATCTAAATTTAAGCTTATAGGAAATGAAGGGGATAGAAAAACAAGTTAAATGGTATCACAAGAAAGCATTCAGACAAGTCCAGAAGATGGACATTCTAAAGGACAAGTGGCTTGATCTCTTCAACAAGTCAATGTCATTAAAAATTAAAAAGGAAGCAGAACTCTTAGATTAAGAGACGTACAAGACATAACAACCAAGGACCTATGTGGTCCTTGATTATGTCCTGGTTTGTACAAACCATCTGTAAATATAATAGGGACGATAGTGGAAATTTGAAGATGGATTGGGCATTAGAAGATATAGGAGAAATAGTGTTAATTTTTCAGGAGTGTTATGGTATTGTAGTTGGAAATATCCAACATATACAAAAGTGTATATATGTAACAACATAAAAAGTGTTTATAATAATGATTTGGTGAAAGTTCATGATGTCTTACTTCATATTATATAGCAGCAAATAAATGAACAAAGCAAATACAGCAAAAATGTCAATAATTGATAAAATGATATGATGAATACAGAGGTTGTCTATTATACTATTCTTTCTAAATTTCTATGTGTCTGAAAGTTTTCAGAATAAAGAGTTAAAAAGTAAATAAGATAATAGATTTGAAATCACTTTGTGAACTCTAAAAAGACAGATAAAACAGATTTTTTTTAAAAAGTATTGGGTAAAGAAAGAATGGTCCTTTTTCAAGCACATGTGCTATTTGGACCACACATTAAAAGAAGTCAGGACTGACCACCACAGAGAGCCACCAAATGCCTCTAGAAACAGAAGCCAGGAGCAAATTTATGGATTCCCAGATCCTGATATTTTTAACACCTTCTCTCATGCCAAGATGACCTTGACCAAAATTGAAGACTAACGTCTTCATGCTAGGAAAGGTAGGCTAAAGCAATTTGCACTTACCATGGAGAACATTTCAGAAAGCCCGTTAACAGTTACAACGTGAGAATAACAGGTGAGTTTTCCTTTTTGCAGAGCAGTAGGATTTGGTACCCGAAACAGGATTTGGTACCTGAAACCATGGATGATCGCCTTTCTTGTTGTGTTATTACTGACAGTAGTAGCAGTGGCCATCGGTCTTCTGGCTCATTTCTTAGTCTCTGGTAAGTAAAATTATAGATTTCGCTGTTTGATTTCATTTTTCCATAAAGCTTTATTTGCATATATGTAAATGCAATTTCATCCAAAAAAAAATTGTAATTTAACCAGTAAATGTCCACATTCAGAATTTTTTTTGTTTATTCAATCATTTCATCAACAAATAATTACTGAATACCTATTACATGTGAGTACATTTCTGGGTACTCAAGATACAGCATTAAGCAAAGCAGACAAATTTCCCATCTCATTGGAGCTCACAGTCTAGTATTCTTTGAGAATCTACACAAAAGATCAAAAATAGTAATTATCTGAAATTTATTAGTAATCATAATAAACTCTAATCATTCATTGTATATTCAAATGAAAAACTTATGATAAATGTTATTAAGTTAGTTACTAAAATTGGCTTTCTCACTCATCATTTTCTGTCCACTAACGTTTCTAGGGCAAAAGAAAAGCACATGTCCAATGAAATAATGAATTTCAAAATGATTGGTAAACTATAAGTATGACATAATGTTATTACTTATTTTTAGAGAAAAAATTTTACTCTTTCCAAAATAATACTCAGGATTTATTTTTTCATTGCCTTATATATTTATACTCACACAAAAAATGCACATCAGAATTCTTTTTATATTGCATCTTTCTCTGCACTGAGCGCAAGTCATTTATATTTTTTGACAAATCTCCACATTGTCACTTTCACACAGATGTATGTGACAAAACAGCCAACTCAGGCTGCTTACTTGAATGGTCTTATCTGTTGTCACCTTCCTCAGACTTGACGGGGGTGTGAAGACTCTATTAGGAGTTTTAAAGGGCTTGAGAACATAGTTCTGGGCCCCATATGACACCCCCGTCTGTAGTTTATGCCAATGGCAAAAGTTTCTCAGGTCAGTTTATCCGACTGCACAAAAGCCCCTTTAATATGAGTATAAGGTTGGATAACAATATGGATTATATAGATAAGTGATCAAAGGGACCAAAAAAGCACTACAGAGTCCAGAGATGTCCCACGTAGGAGATATGCCATCCTGAGATCCCACTTTCTTTCCTAGGTCCATGGCTGGGGAACCCAGTGTGTCCTCCCTGAGCCAGGCTCCCCAAGGAGAGGGGTTATTTTGTGGCTGTTCCATTCTCTATCTTTAACTCTTTGTAGCTTTCTTCCTCCCCAGGGCTGTACTCCCAAGATTACCAGACTCCTCAGAGTCTCCATTGCTCTCTGTTTTCTTACCTTTCCTGATAGCCAAGCAGAAATCTGATTGATTCATCCCTGTTACACATCGTTCTCATCTCCAACCTCAGATAGTTTTTCCCTGCCTTTCTTTCCACGTCTTTCTTAGGGTGCTGGCTCTCGCATTACAAATCACAATTTTACAAGGATGTTTATTTACATCTACTTCCAGTAAAGTATAAGGTGGTATACATTTTACCTCAGTAAGGGGCAATATAGGAATCAAACATTCCACCTCTAGAGCCACGCTGTCTGGGTTTAAGCTTGGATAGGGCCACTTACTAGTTAATAGCACAGGGCAAGTTACTCAACACCTCTGTGCCTCACTTTCCTCATCTGTGAAATGGGGGTGATACCAATCTTAGAGAACCGGCATGAGGATCAAATGAGTTAACATATGTCAAGTGCCCAGAATAGTGCTTGGCACGTAGTAGGCACTTGATAACTACCAGCTACTTTTACTAACATAAAACGTTAATCGTTATGTTTATTATATATTTTATAAACTAAATTAGAAAGAATCCCAGCAATACATTCAACACTTCATATTAGTCTCATTATAGTTGAGCCTTAGGTCCTGAAATTTATGCCTAAACTACTTAATTTCCTGCTTTTCCTTTTCATCACAGACCAGAAAATGGAGTATTATCACGGCACCTTTAAAATTTCAGATCTACAAATCAATAGTAATTCTGGACAAAACAGCATATACCAACTTAAGGACTTACGGGAGATGAGCGAAAATATGGTAAGTCAGATAAAATTCGTTCTATCATAGATGGGTGGGATTGCAGGTGGAAGGAATTTTGTGGATCGTTTCCTTCAGTGTTTCTCAAAACATGATTTTCAGAACCTCTGCATCAGATCATCTTGCAGGTTCCTAGGCCCCACTTCACTGAATCAGTGTCTGATGGGCTGGGTAGGTGGGGATAGGAAAGTAAGGGAATCCACATTCTAAGAAACCAGTGATTCTGATAAACCACTCTTTCTAACTCAACCACCTCCTTTAAAGGGGAGTGAACAGAGACCAAGGTATCCTTGCCCATTGCTCCCCCCATTCCACACAATATTACCCAAATGGAAAAGCTTAACCAGAAGTGGTTATTTGTAAGATCACATGCTTTTCTTTTAAGACCACAAAATTTTAAATATTTTTTAAATATCTGAGAAAAGGAAAGATAATCATAAATGTTCATTTTATCTCACAAATATACTAATAAAGTTAAAATATCCAGAGCTGTTGTGTAATATTTAAGTGAAATGCTAACAATTTTGTTAAAACTAAAATATAGGACTGTCCCCAAAAGGAAAAAAGTAAACTCAGTTGTATGATAACTCTGCTAGGGATGCCTGTGAACCCTCTCTCAAAAACTAAGCTCATGTTAACTTCTCTGACAGGGAAATACAGAAGCACAGAGTTATTTTAAAAGAGTGGAAATGACAGGTGCATTAGTTGTTTTATCCAAGAACCTTTTTTTTTTCCAAGACATTTCTTTCTTTCTCAAATCAATTTTCCTTTTTCCATATCACCATCTGATCTTTGCCCCATGCAGACTCATTTGCAATATACTTACAATAATAAATTTGGAGATGGAAATGGAGTTTATAATCTATATTTTCAATCATTGAAGATGCACACTTTTTCTATTTTGATGTCTCATCTCCTCTAAGTCAATAATTAACATTTATAGATTGATATATATACTTACATTCTTTTATATTCAGAGCACCTTAGAAAATAGAATTTGTAATCATTTCTTCAAGAATGCCAGGAAAATCCTAGTTACATAACCCAGTACTTCCTTTATGCCTCTAACCCTGAGTGACTCCACATAACCTCCTCAAGGAAAAAAAAATTAATTTGCTTAGTTAAAAAGATATAAAAACTATTTGAACAATGGGAAATGTTTATAATTTATAGAGAAAGTTTAAAATCCGTTTTCTTTTTGTGTGTGTGTGAGGAAGATCAGCCCTGAGCTAACATCTGATGCCAATCCTCCTCTTTTTTGCTGAGGAAGATTGGCCCTGGGCTAACATCCATGCCCCATCTTCCTCTACTTTATATGGGACACCGCCACAGCATGGCTTGCCAAGCGGTGCATCGGTGCACGCCCGGGATCTGAACCTGTGAACCCCAGGCTGCCAAAGCGGAGCGTGCACACTTAACTGCTCCGCCACTGGGTTGGCCCCCAAAATCTGTTTTCTTTATGTTTTATAGTTGACATTGTTGATATTGTTGTTTGAGGCTAACTAAGACATTGTCTTTACTGAAAGTAAATGGACAGGAATGCAATAGGTCTTTTAAAAGGAAGTGAAAGAAATGCAGAAGTGCGTCTATAACAGAAACCGTCTTTGAAAGTGGACTTTTAAGTATTAGTAAAGCATGCATTTCTAGGAGTGAAGAAACCTCAAGTGCAAAGGCTGAGTGAGGTAGTGACACATTATCATCATGATCGTGTGCAAGGCCCTCTTCTAGTTGTCATTATTCATTTATTCTTCTTTATTCTCATAAGACACTCCCATTCACCTCCCTTGCAGGCAACCACTTGTATTTCCTGTGTATTCTTTTCTTTACACTCATTTTTGCGAAAATGCATTTTGTTGTTTTGTGTGCACATGATTTTAATTTATTCTTTGTGTTATAAATCACTTGTTTTAGTCAGTTTGGGTTGCTATAACAAAGTATCATAGACTGAGTGGCTTACAAACAACATAAATTTATTTCTCCCACTTCTGGAGGCTGGAAATCTGAGACCAGGGTACCAGCACGGTCAGGTTCTGGTGAAGACTCTCTTTTTGGTTGCAGACTGCAGACTTCTCAGTGTACCTTCACATGGTGGAGAGCAGAGAGCTAAAGAGCGCTCTGGGGTCTCTTTTATAAGGGCACTAACCCCATACATGACCTAATCACCTTCCAAAGACACCAACTCCTAATACTATCACATTGGGGGGTAGGATGTCAACATATGAATTTTGGGGGGAAACAAATATTCAGTCCATTGCAGCACTTTTTAGTTCATACTTTCATAGATTTATTTCATCCTTTTTTACTCAGATCTGTTTTTTAAGATCTATTCATGTTGCTAAATGTACATCTAATTCACTACTACTAACTGCTGCATGATGATTCATAGTATATATCTACCACGTTTTACCTCCTGCTCATCATTCCAAGAAATGCTGCACCAAACAGCCTAGTACTTATTCCCCTGTGGACCAATGCAGGTTCTTCTGGAAGCAGAATTACTGGGGCATTGGGTGTGCATACCCAATTTGACTTATTGGTGCTGGATTGCTCTTGAAAATGGCTGAATCAGTGTGCACTCCCATCTGCAGTGCATGAGGATTCCTATGTCCTCATGTCTTTGCCAACACTTGGTATTATTTGGCTTTCTAATTTTGGCCAGCCTAATAGGCATTAAGTTGCATCTTATTTATGACTTAATTTGCATTTTTCTAATTACTAATAAGTTTGCATTATTACTTATACTTATTGGCCTTTTGGGCTTTCATTTCTATAAACTGCCTGTACCTATCCTTGCCTATTTTTCTATTAGACTTGTTTTGTTTTATTAGTATTGCTTTGCAGGATTCCTTATATTTTCTAGATATAAATAGTTTGTTGGTTGTAGACTTTGCATTTATTCATTCTGTCTTCTATTAATTTGGACCATGTTGTCCTTGATGAAACAGAAATCCATAATTTTAAAGTAATCATATTCATCAACTTTCTTTGCCTTATGGTTATGTTTTTAAAACTCTTTTTAAGAAGTCATTCTCCAAGTTATAAAATATTTTACTATATTCTCTCTTATTAACTTTATAGTTTCACCTTTTACATTAGGTCTTTAATGCATCTGGAGTCCACCTTTAAGTGTGATGTTAGGTAGGAACCCAGGTTTTATTCTGCATATAGTGAGCCAGTTTTTCCAATATAAATAAAGAATTTGTCTTCCCAATATATGGTATCATTATTCTGCTCTTGTCATTTCTTGGCACCTGAGTCTTACAGAAAAGGAAACATGATCTGCTTCCTCAAACTGCTTCCAATATCTTTGGAGAGATGAGAGTAACACACGTGAAATTGAACAGCATGACATGATATAATTAAGAACTAAATTGTGTGTTGAGGACAACAAGTACAGAAAAACTTAAAAGAAAAGGAAGATCAACTAGGGTTCCCATGGTTAGGAAAGGCTTTGTATTATTTTACCCTTGTTTAAATGAGACAGATGTCCCTTTCCCTCCACTCCCCACCCAGTTACCTTTAGAGGAATTACTGGAAGAGTTCCTGCCTCATCCTAAGCCACTCCTCTTTATTGTTGCTAAATCCCAATGCATAAAACCAGATTCTTCTCTCTGCCCTGTATTGGTGTTAATTAGACGGCCAAGAAAGACAGGTTGCAGGTCCTGTTCCTCCTCATAATTTGGGATTTACTGATTTGAATGCAAATGGAGATAAAAAGTAAAATGAGCTCATGCTCATATCCTGCTAAAACCCATCCCAGTTCTCTGAGATAGTGACACAGACATATCTCATCTTTGAAATCATTTTTTAGAGAAGAGTCCAGTAACCAGTCACCAGTAATTCATGGCACTCCCAAATGGGTAGGTCACTTTCGTCATTATATAAATTTGAGTAGAGACAATGACTGAGGGAGTGTTCCACTTGGAGAAACATATTTCAGAAATATTTTTAAGTTATAGGGTCATTACAAATGTGAAAGTTATAAATTTGTAACATCATAACAATAGTAATAGCTAACATGTATTGCATGCCAAGTACCACACTAAGCACTTTATGTGTATTATTTTAGTTAATCCTCAACAACAACCTTATGAGGCTGGTACAGTTACTATCATGATTTTATAGATGAGAAAATAAAAGTACAGAAAAGTTAGTTTACTCAAGATCATACAGCTAGTAAATGATTTAGTTAGGATTTGGCACTATATGTTCTTAATAAACTTCTGTCATCCAGAAGAATCATTTGTGTGATTTTATTTCCCATCTACCATCCCACAAAATACAAGAAATCAAGTAATTACCCCTGGTACATTATTTTCTTTCGATTATACTATTAACATGGGCCAGTGACCATCATCTGTATTAACAATAGCAACAGCTAGGAATTTTCATAGGGTTGTCTGCCGGCAAAAATACTGCTCCCTGTTCCTGTGCCCAAAGTAGTTCTAAATCTTATATTCTTTGCACCTAGGAACACCAGAACACAGGGCCTGAAATGATCCTCAAAATATCCTTGAGACTATGTGTCTAGAGTTGTAGAGACAAAGAACTTGAAAACAGAATCTGATGCAAGGAGATAAATGTAGTTAGGAATACTCTCTAAAGAAATTAGAAGACAAAATGAGATTTGGCTCTGATCTACACTGAAGCATGAAGTGCTTCTACTGAGAAGAAGCAACTGGGCCAAGGTAAACTTAAACTTGGCAAAGGCATTAGACTATCTGAAGTTTGGAGTTGCATAGGGAAAGAGAATTAAAAGATGCCCAATGCTTGGTCTTGGGCTGTGGCTCTGTTGCCTAGAGAGAAGAGATTGGATTTGTAAGCTTTGAGCAAAAAGACAGGCAAAGATTATCAAGAAACTTCATGTTCAGAGGTTAGAAAAATTGACTGTAGAATGTGATTTAGTCCTTACTCGAGGGCTCAGACTTACATTCATGTCGTAACTGAAGATTAGGCGTGACTGAAAGAGAAAGATGTGTATCACCACCTCTATCTTCGAT